AATTTATATTTTAAAGAATTGATATGACTCTCGCCAAGCATTGGCTTTTGGCCATAAGATGACCCCAAGAAGACCTCAGATATGGGTTCAAAAAGTAAAAAAACAAATCAAAACTGGACTGTAGCGAATTTTTTGTATATTTTATATATGTGTTAAAAATTGTTATATAATTAAATTTAGGCATTCTACTTTTTTTAATATCGTATCCTTTTGATAAAATTTATCTTGAATTTAAAAAAAATTGTCTTGGGCCTTACAGCATATATTATTAAAAGAAACTTCCTTTTTTTAGTATAAACTTTTTTCCAAGTGCCTAGAAAAATAACCCGAAACCCCATCATCTCTCTTCCAGGCATTTTCACAGCCTCCGTGCTGGGGTTGAGTTGACCCCGCGGGTAATTTGCACTTCAAAGCGAGCCCCTGCAATCTGTTTATGCCATCAAGTGGGCCAGCTGGTGGCCCCCAAAAGATCTATGGCATTTATGAGTAAGTGGGGGCTACCACGGGGATTGGGATTGGGAATGGGGGGCGGAATGGTATCGGAGGGAATGCTGCGAGTGCCATGTGCTAATGAGCCGGCGATTCGAACTCGGTTCCTGCAATTCCCCCGGCCCATTGGCCCATCTAATTATCTGCCATTATTCCGGGGCGGTAAGTGAAATAATCTGTGGCAAGTCTGTCTACGCACCTGACATGCCACCTTACTTACAATGGCCTGGCGTCCTTCCCTTCAACATCCACATCTATATCCACTTCGGCTTCCACTTCCATTCCATCATCGATCCTTGTCGCCAACTAAAGCAGCTGTCAAATCTCCAGTTGACAGCCACTTTCATTTCGATGCATTATTAAAATACAGGCAGTGGCAACATCCTGACACCTCCCCATGGACCCTGCACTGTGGAAAACTATTGTTCCTTTTGAGTGGTTTATTTAATTATTAAGATTACGTGTCTTAAAGGTAGCAGGAAGGGAGAAATCTAGAGAAATTCATTCAAAATATATATGACCAAGGATTATTGATTTCCTGAAACCACAATTATATTTTCCTTATTAATATTTATTCAAGTGTACGCCCTATACCTTGCAACTTTGGGGCAGGGCGACCAGGTGAGTTAGGGCAACAGCAAAAGCCAGCTCCCATCGCAGACATCTTGGCGACTGTCGGAGCCAACTCTTGTTTATTTTTCATGGGAAAGTCAGGCATCGAGGGACAGGGCTCTCGGTGGTTTTTCTATGGTGGGGATGGAAAATTCTCTGTTGCTGCTGCTGCTGCTGCTGCTGCACTTGGCAATCGGCTGCTGTTTGTGTATGTTTGTGTGTAAATACAAGAGCACGCAAAACTTCATGCGGTGCCCGGTACACCCATCCATATTCCATATTCCGGAACACACGCATCGTCAGCGGCGCAACAAAGGCACGTGTAAACAACCGGAGCTACACCAGGCTACCCGCCACCACCCTTTCCCTCACCACAAATCGCCGGAATCCCCCAAGCAGCTCTCCCCGCAAGTGACGATATACCAAGAATGCGGCAGCACTTGTTGCCACATCGAAGTTCCTATACCCTCCAGGCGAGAGATCGAGGGACCACTGACTACTAACTACGTTCCAAACTCCCTCTTGTTAAATTCAATTTTGGCGGCCAAACTCGCCCTAAACTGATAAGACTTGGGCTTTATCCACACAACTTTCATGTCGCCGCTTTCACCATTTCACCAGCTATCGTTTTCACTTTCTTCGGGGGTGAAACAAGAGGCTTGTGAATGAGATAAAATGAGAAATATTAATATTTCTTGGAGAAGTATTTAGTTAAAAACTTGTAAATGGGAGATTTTAAAGCTCCTGAAAATGCCTCTGTAACTCTGAATTGAATCATTTAATAAATTATTTAATTTAAACTCTTTAAAAATATATACAAATCACAAAAAGAATATAGAAGCTAACAAATATTTAAAAGAGATTTTAAATGTTTAAACTATTATTATAATATTTATAACAATAATTATTGTGAGATTTTAATTCCTTGGAAAATATGTTTCATTTGAAAAATGTCTCAGAAATAAAAGACTAAGTTTTTAATTAATCTTTACATAACTGAAGTTTACTAAACTAAACTAAACTAAAAGAATATTATACATATTACAATTTCTATAGATTTTTTTTAAACTCCCAAAAATGTTTCTTAAAGCAAAGAAAGTCACATTCTTACCTATTTTTAAATGTCACTTAGGGAGTATAATTTGTAACCACTAAAGATTTTTCCACTATCATAATTTCATAAGAACTTTCTCTTCAAAATTTATGATTAACAACTTTGCTGATAATACCCTGCAGCCAAAAGTTTTGCAAATTGCGAGCGACCTTTTCGCTCAGATAGTTATTATTGACCCCCGTTTTGGTGGCAGTTTTTTCTACTCCCCAAAATAAGGAGTCAAAGTCAGCTAGGGAATGAGTGAAAAGGCCAGAGTTCACCGCAAAACTGTTCGCACCCGCTGGCGAAGAGTGCATAATAAAAAGGGCATCTACGTATGAATATTTTTTATCCGAATGCAGGCCGTCAAGGCGTGGCGCGGCAGACAGAGTGGCGTCAAAAGTTGCCCGAGTCTGGGATTTCGGTTGGAACGGGAAATATACTATATATACAGATATGGGAGGAGTGTGTGCTCTGGGAGTACGTGCATGCACGGTGCGGATGGAGGATGGAGGATGGGTGGGCCTACGCCGACTCTTCTTCTGAATGTTATGAAAACAACGGCAGCCAAAAACCACTTGGCACGGGCCGCACCTCGTTGTAGATCCCATGGTAAATGGTCGACAGTTTGATATGCGGTTTGGCAGAGCCAGCAAAATATCAGTTTGAACGGAACGGAACCAAACCGAACCGAACAGAGCACCGAACACAAACCAGTAGATCCGGCAGAGAAGCCTGATTTAATTTTCCATGGCCGAGTTTTGGCCTGGCCGACAGAATCTGCGAGTTGTGGGTGCTCCACTCTCCGCTCGGAGAGTGTGTGTGTGGAAACACTGAACCCGCCGAATGTTTACCAGCAAATATGGCACATCATCAGGGGAAACTTTAGTTACCTTGCCTTTGTCCTGGGATTGCAGTAAATATGGGTTTATGGGAGTTTCGGGTATATTTTTGCAGAGGGTTTTACTAAAAGAGTTATTACTTAATTTATACTTGAAAAGCTCTTTTTCGATTAAGGATTTAATGGTAAAGTTTATGTAGATTCAAATATTTATTAAAGAGAAGCAAACCCATTATAAATTTATGTATTTATATTAATACATTTATCATAAATGCCACAGAAATTCTGAGAGGTGTTGAAAGGTTCTTTTATTTCAATAAAATATGCATGTACCTCTTAAAGTATTTTATGGATTTTTAATAAATATATTAATTACTTTTTAATAAAATTAAATACTTCAATATATTTAAAATAATTTTATTTCAAATCTTATCCTTGCTTTTTTCTCTCAAACATTTTAAAATAAAATACAAACTCCTCCTCAATGCTAAGCCCCTCCAGCAGCAACTACAATATATCACAATGCTTTGTTTTTATGGTCTACATTTTAACTTTAATTAGTGTTTTGGAAAACTGAAGATTTCCAGGGAGTTGTGTTGTGGGTGGGTGGTCTGTGGGGGGAAAACCCGAGAGCTCGTCAAATGTTTACAAGCAAATACGCCACATCATCATCGGCGGAACTGGAACTAGAGAGAGTCGGACATCAGGCAGTATTTTTTTTTTTTGCTCTCCTCAAAATCTCAACCGGAATTTATAGATTTCTTCTCTTGTTAAGTTAAGCCACGAAATGGGGGCGACGTGCGGGATGGGAGACAATAAGTTGGAATTCGCTTTGATCTTTTCGCACTTTTAAATGTTTGAGAAATCTTTGTAAAAGGCAACGAATCGGATTTCGGAGAACCAATAAAAAATTAATGGCAGTCTGTTGTTGTTGCTACTGTTGCGGCTCTGTGGCCGCCGTTTTTCAGCCGTTTGTTATTTGTTTTTTAAATTTTCTGTTTGATAAAGCGCACCACAAACAAAATGGGTGGCGAAAATAAATCCTCCCAACCAGAAGAAATAAATACGTGTGAGGGCGGCGCAGGCAGGCAGAGATGTGCAACTAGTTCGGCGGAAAATGGAAATGGAAAACCAGCTGCCCCCTCCACCTATTTTTCCTATTTCCCTCTCAGTCCCCCTGATTTACATTTGATTCGATTGGAAGGCGGAAATCTTTGGCAATTGCAGATTAATGCCCTGACAGCTGCCTCCTGGCGAAAGTCCTGGATCTTCTGCAAAACATTGAGAAAAATATCCTCTGACTTTGGGGATTTATAAAATGTATAAAAAATCTAAAAAAAATTATCAGTAATTTAACAATTTATATTATAATTCCAAGTATTTAATATTATATTATATTTCAAGAGAATAAAGCTTACTAACTGTAAGGATATTCTCCCTTTAGATGTAAGAAATCCAAAGAATAAAATCTTATAAATTCAAATATATATTTATAATATAAAAGGTATTGTTTCCTTTTAGTCCATAAAATTTCTAAAATTATTTCCTTTTATTTTAAATAGAAAACAAATATTTCTTGTAGTGCTGATATCCTGGCTGGCTCTACTCAGGTGTCAGGATACTTTGCGCTGATTAGATAAACATTTTGGGGAAATGTGTTAAGCCTTGTTTGGCTTTTGTTTTCGGATCGCTTGGCGGCTGTGGCCGCATGGTTGGCAGGAGGTTGGCCGATTGCCTTTAAAGCCAACTTTCTGCGGGCCAGGACAGCGCTGTGCAAATGGTATTTTTATTGAGCCATTAAAATTCTCGCCCGGCTCTTCGATGCCTGCCACAAGTACAGGATCTACCTATCCTGTATTACGGCAAAGATGGCCATATCTGGCGGCCAGGACGATTTTGGTCACCCCCTCCGGCTACCCGCCAGCATTTTGATTAACGTGCCACTGATGCTCGTTTGCTCCGTTGTTTTCTTGGTTTTCTTAACGATTTCGTATATATATATATTTCTTTTTTTTTTTTTGGTTTTATTTGGCCGCAAAAAATCCCACCTAAGGGGATAAAGTTGTGAAATATTTTGGGATTTGCGCGACTTAGGAGGAGTTGTCCCATTCCCTGGGCTGGCTCGGTGATTAGGCAGCAATCCATATTTCTTGCGGCCAGCTATTGGCCAACAACTGCTACCGTTTTCTATTTTATTTTCCAGAGGGCCGCCAAAGATTTATGTACATATTTGCTTGGGGTTTGGGTTTGGGTTTGCTCTCTCCGTTTGGTTTTGGATTGGGGAATTTGCCTCATTAGCTGCAGAATCCCTGGGATGGAAATCCCCAACCACTTTCCACCTGGGGGCGTGTGCGTGTGCTTATCACATGAATGTCATTACGCACCTTTGCCAGGATCTCCTTGCCTCCATCTTCTTGCCCCCATCTCATCCCAGTTCACAGCTCCCCAGCCTCCTGTTTGTGGCCATAACTTTTTGCCCCCATCTAAGGCAGGAGGCACGAGGCAAGTGCGAATGCGAATGCGAATCCGAATGGGAATACGTGAGTTCTGCAAGTTATGTGCGCGTAAGTGAATGAAATTACCGTAAGGCATTTAACCGATGCAAGAAGGACTCACAATCAGCCCTCGGAATAGATACATAAATGACAATGCCGGTGGATATTCAGCCGCAAAACGTTTAAAGACGCTGCCGCCGCCGTCGCACTTGGCATAAAAATGCTGCTACCAGGGATTGCCTTCCTCGTTCTTCGTCCTTCGCCGTGCAAATCCTGCCTCGAACCTATTGTTTTTTTTTCCCTTGTCTTTTTTTTTGTTTTGTTATACTCTGGAAGGCGGCGCGCTTATCGTTTTGACAGGAATATCTGCGCTTTCTAAATGCCGACGCCGTCGTTTATGACGCTGACTGCTGCGCTTACGATTGAGTCTGAAGCCCACTCCCCCCTTTCCACACCCCGTTTTCCCTTTACCACCCCCCTAAAACCCACCCATTTTAGCCATCCTGAGGAACCTTCTTTTGTCGCCGTAAAAACGTGCTGTGCCTGGTTGTTACTTTAATGGCTTTTACTCCCCACGAATCCCGGAGTCGTCAGGCGAATTATGGAAGCTGCCGTCGCCGCCAGAGCCAGAGCTAGAGCTCCATCTCTCCATCTCATAGACATCGTCATTGCTGGCATTAGGGCACTGAGAGAAAAGGTGGTATAAATATGGGGTTTGTTAATAGAAAAAAGTAATATAAATGCAGGAACATACATCAAAGGAATAAGGAATTTAAAGGTAATTAAAGAACATTTAAAGATTCTTTCATAAATATTTATCTACTTTCACCATATTACATTATCTTAAGTAATAAATATCTGAATTAAATCCTTGTATTCATATTTTAAAATCAAGTAATAACCATTTTCCACCGTGTGGCATCTCCTCATCTGTGGGGCTTGCTCTGGCTTTGTTTTTCAGCACTTTCGCGTGCCTGCGTGTGTATTTAATAGTCTGTGGTTTGACATTGACTGCCAGGACCTATATATACGCATACACCAGCCAGGGAATTATATACAAATATACATAAAGTGTGGGCATTAAGGACGCTCAAGTTGTAATCTGGGCGAAAGGGCTGGCGACGCGACGATTCCGTGCCAGGATCCAGGTTCCGCATCCCCAGGAATCTAGCGGATCTACGACCGACTACCTGCTCCGGCCGTATCTCGTGCGATTCGATTATCGTGTCAAATTTTAATTACTCAAATTACAACTTGGCTTTTTATGCCCGCGACTTACTTCCTTCTAATGCGCACTGAATCTCTGAATTTTCCCCCACTTTTCCCAGCATTTCCCTGCGCGAACTGTCAACGCTGTCACAATGTCTCTTGGTCATTAAACATCCGAGACTCCGAAGGAGGCGTGGATTTGTGGCGAAAATTTTAAAGCCTGCTAAATAAGTGAAATAATTGACCCGAGGTGAATTCCTGGCAGTTCTCCGGCGAAGGCAAGGAATGTGGACGGGATTTGACAGCCGAAAAGGATGGGGATTTCGAGGGAGGCTTTTAATGAAAAATCTGATAAGTATGCTATAAAGTGTGATCTAGATAAAGCAACAACACTGGGTAATGCAGTGTACTTGTTGTATTTATGTTTAAAATTATACGAACAACTTACCAGGAAAAAACTATGAAGTAAAGGAAAGAAAACCAAAGGTTTGACTTGAATTTAAATTATAAAAAATATCTTTTAACCTTTTAATGGTTGAAAACTAACCATTATTTATTTTAAACAACTCTTAACCTTCAAGCAAGTTCCAATAGCTTTGGAAAGGCATTTTAAATATTTTAATCCACATTCTTAACCCCACTTAAAAATGCGCTACAAGGTGTAAGCTCCAAAAGCCCAACATAGTTACACTTTCACCTTCTCAAATATCTTTAAGGTGACCGAAGGACACCACCGACCGGGTCACTTTATTAAATCCATAAATACTTTCCTTATCTCCGCTAATGCATTTAATGTCTGAAAAACTGACCCTTTTTCGGAGTTCATCAATTCGCTGGCGAATTTGACACGCATTTCGGTCTATTAACCAAAGACCATACCATTTCATACCGAGAACCGTGCCGAAAAGGATTTTCGAAGACAACAACCAGTAGCCCAAAACCAGTGGCTGCCAAAAAATATCTTTGGCCATCTATCTTTGGTTTAAAATCGCCAAAAAACGTGACGAGGGGTGAGTTAGGGAAATATAAGGAGATGATAGCCCAAGGAGAAGAAGCGACGACTTAGGCCGCGTTAGTCCTTTAATATGCCAAGATTGACGTCGATTATGCATTAATAGGACACGCACTATAAATAACGCGCCTTTGGCCCTATGCGAGCGAGGTCCTGTCGTGACGTCTATGGGCCTAATGAAGGCTTTTTTCAGCATACGTTCCACGTAGTCGCCCGAGGGAGCGAGTGAAAAAGATGCTGTATATACACTGGGGGAAAAAGGGAAAAGAAAAGGATTTTTAATAACATTTTTAATAGCTTTTAATAAAGATTTTGGTGAGGAAATGAAAATGAAACTTTATGAAAGTCTAACAAAATTCCATTTTACAGCTTACAATTCCTTTGCCTTATAAAAAATTATATTTTTAGAATCCTAAAATAATTTTAAGAAATATTTACTTAGCTAAAAAATATGCTTTAAGGTCAAACTTAAATTCAATAATCTAAACTATATTATTCCAAAAAACTCAGAATTCATTTATTCAATTAATTTAATTTAATTAGTAGCTTCTCTACAATTTTTATAGATCCCATCTAAAAAATTACTGTTTTTGCTCCGTGTTTTTCACAATTTCCGGCGCACTTTCCCTCTTGTTTTGACAGGCTCTTTTTTGAGCAGTGCCATAGGCGTCACCACCCATTTCGAATTTTGCGCTGACATTGATTGATTATAAATCGGCATACATTGCAAATCCAAGGAGAGGACAATAACACAACTGCTCCTGATGTTGTTGCTTATCCTTTGTGTTGCCGCTGCGGTTGCCTTTGTTTGGTCTGTGACAGCTTTTAATCTGGCACGAGGCACAGCAGCAGCAGCAGCAGCAGCAGCACCAACAGCAGCAGCAGCAACAGAAGCAGCAACAATAGTAAGAGCAGCAACAATGGCCATAGCTAAAGTGCCTGCACGGAACCGAAAATTATGTCTCTGTCAAATTTTAATATTAGTTTCATTGTAATTTTATAAATTTAAGATATATAAAATACATAAAATTGTTAAGCTAGTCCATGCTGTAGTTCCTTCTACTTATTTCTCCCATTAACTAATACCTCAAATTTTCAGCAACTTTTTCTTTCTGTGTGCTTCTGTGTGGCATATTTGAAAATCACTTTAGTTCATATTTCGGACGCACAGCCTGAGACCTCAGCCAGTTGTCATTGCGTTCCTCTAATGCCTGTCCAAAGCGTTAATGATGCGGTTGCTGGTCAACCGCAGCAGTCGCCGCAGCAGCAGCAGCAGTGGCAGTTGGACATCCATAGGAGTAGCAACAACACCCGAAAATCCACCCAGGCCCCCTTGGCCTTGCCGCAATTTACATAATGGCCGACGACGACTACGACTCCTGATGCAGGGGAGAGATCCTTTCAACAACAATAACAACGACAGCAATACAAATAGCAGCAGCAGCACCAACAGCAACAACATCAGCAGCAACAGCAATGGCCAGCCGTTGATGGCACGTTTTTGATTTCAATTGCTATTCCCAGTAGTTTCACTTGACTTTATGTGCTCCTGCGTCTCATCCTTAAACGGATGCACTAGGAAAAAAATCTAGGAAATAGTTATGGTGATAGGAAAACTATATTATTCATAAAACAAAGATAAATTGAATAATTTAAAGCTTGTATTTTATTTTAAATCGATTATTGGGCAAATCTTTTAATGATAAGGAATTAAATAAGTTAAGCATATATCTGAAGAACATTTTTCTTTGAGGATTTGATAGTATTTCAATACCTTTCATACTTAAATACAAGGCAAGTCCCTACTAATCAACCTGCTGAAAACCTTCAAATTATATATCTAACCGAAAACTTCTAGACTTTCCTCAGAGTGTACCCATTTTTCTCGTCGGTTTCTGTTCCGCTCAAAGATGTCTGGCCTATATAGGTTGCTTGGCGCCATTTTATGTACGTAGCAAAACAAAAGTTATGGCCCGATTTTCCCTATCGCCTATGTCTCTCAGCCCCGCCCACTTTTCTTATATTTTCTTCTTGTATTTTTTCTTTTTTTCTGGGTGGGGGTGGTAACAAGTGGGACATTTGCCAGTTCGGCTGTTGGGCTGTTGTTATTGTCCTTGTTGTTGATGTTGCTGCCAGCAATAAAAACAAGCAAAAAATGTTGACGCCACCCTTTTTATTTTATTTTTTTTTTCTGTTTTGTTGTGTTGCGGACCAAAAGTTACGCATCTAATAGGAAATCGGCATAAGTATATGTGTACACAATGGAAATCTTAGTTTTCCCAACAAAACCCAATGATAATTTTAAGCAAACGAGCTGGAGGGCTGGAGTGAAAGTCAAAGTCAATTACGTGGCGCTTTCACAAATCTTTCCCCGTCACAGGACAATCGTTGGTAGCTGGGGGTTTCTTAGGTTTTAGGGGTTCTTGGGGGATGCTATGGCAAATTAATAGAGAACACACACGGATACACAGACGCAGCTACACACATGGGCTCGTAAAATGTAATGTCATAAGTGCTGCGCTGAACCTAAAACATTCCGTTTAACGCGACCTTCTCCTTGACTACAAGCATCTATTGCCAGCTTCCTTTCGCCATCCTGGTAATAGCCAAGTGAGAATCCTTGGATTGGGTATTGCGACAAAGGCATGCCCAGTACTTGGGCTGGGAAACATGAGATGAAAGGGAAGTAAAAGCTAGGATCAGAGGATCTTCGAGGATTGAAAAAGCTAAGAATCATTTCTAGTTTAAGGTTCTTCTGTTAATTTTTCTAAATTCTGTTTGTTTAATTTTATATAGTATTTATTCTATAGTCTTTAAAAATAACCTCAATCTAAAATACAAATAAAATACCTCCAATTCCTAAGTGTCTGCATTTTATATCCATTCAAGTTTCTCCATTAAAATGTATATATTAGTGGCGACCGTGACACCTCCCGAATACAATATACCCTCTCTACCCCCTCGCCAAAAATACCCGAGGTACAAAAAGTAGCTTCCACTTGGGCAATGGCATCCATTTTTCGGAAGGGGAGCCAAAATATTCGGATTAGTTATGCTGTTGGTCTGCCCCAGGCAGTGTCTGCTTGGCTTCCTGGAGGAGGGTGGGTCCTTTGCCCTTTGTGTCCTCAACGTAGAAGATGAAGGCCAGGGCGACCAGCGAGGACTATAACTAATTCCATGGTTATGTATTGTAGTTTCCTGAGCTGAGCTGCTGCATTCATTGCTCACAAATTGACAGTCGGCGCTTGGGGCTTCTGCACTTGTGACCAGCCAAAGAGTCACAGGATCTCCAGGCTCACTCACCCATCAAGCGAAAGGAGAGCTAAAGGAACTGTTGCTTGCCGAGGGGAATCGTATCCTAGCCTGTTGTTGAGTCAGTTAGTGGCTTATTTGTAGGCAAACATTCCCGCCGTGAGGCCCCGGGATCCATCTAGTTCATAGATTTATCTAAAATAAGTGAACCATCTAATTGTTCAATAAGTTCATCCTGGGCCCGGGGACACAAGACCCCAGCACAGCTCGGGCAGCTCTCTGTTGCTTGTTTAGAATATCCAGGGAATGAATAGCCAGCTTAGGCAAATGGAATCCCCACTCCACATGGCATGTCATGGCTTCGGGGCTCTCGCTCTCCCGACCTCTAGACGTGCTTAAACCCAAAATTAGGGGTGGTTACGGGCGGCTCCAGTGGGTGGCTCCGGCTCCGGCCTTCTTACGGGCCATAAAATTTAAAAGCGAGCAAAGCATTTTAGCTCTGGTGCAATTTATTAGGCCGGCTCATCGCGCCGCATTTCGGGCCTTTGCGTAACAATTGCCTTCATCTGTTGATAAATCCCTGGCATGGCACCAAGTAAATTGAAAATATCCCCCGCACACACTCGCACACGAGAGAAAGAAGGTGGGCCTTCGACTTCGTCTCCGATTCCGATGTGCAGCCAACTGTGTCGCAGTTCTAATTATCCACGCACATGTCCCCGGCAAAGCAGAGACAGTCAAGCTTCTCTGACATTAGCTTTAAAGATTGGGAATTACAATAAAACGAAATGGCAAAAGAACATCTGATAAACAGGGAATAACTTTTTAATTAATTAAAAGCTTAAGGAATCGAAGAATATACTTCTGCTCAGTTCAGAGTCTTTTCCTCTTAATGGAAGCTCCCCTGTATTTTCATTTCCCTGCATATACCGGGCTTTAAGCAGCGACTTAAGGACACGGACATGAAGCTGGTAAGGCAGGAGCTTCCGCTTCTGTCTTTTATGCAACTGCAGTGGCCACCCGCTGGCTGACTCAGTGGCAAGCGGCATTCAAAACAGCAGCCAGGACGGCCCGCCAGCTGTGCAGTGCTGCCTTCGCCTCCGCCTCCTCATCCGACTTCCCATCCGCAGCAAGTGGCGTGAAAGTTATGAATTTTAAACATTTTCTGGCAGGGCATCGCAGCCAGAATCAGAGCCAGAGCCCAGCCCCAGAACAGGAAGCGAACGCCACCGCCCCTGCGGCCACGTCCATATATTAGTTTTCGGTGTCTTCGGTGGCGTCTGCAGATTTATAGCAGGCCAGAAAAATCTGCAATTGTGGGTGACTCCTGCAGCTTCACTCCCATACATCTCATTTTACAGAAATTGAATGGAAATCTTTATAAAAAAATAATACAAAAATAAATCGAATGTTTGCAGAAGCTAAAACAGAGTGAGAGTAGCACTTAAAGCTTAAATGTCATTTATAGGGTCCGATTTGGGGGCAGTTTCAGGATGCTGCGCTGGTGTTGCGCCAAATATCCACATCCGTTTGGAGGCATTTTCGGTATTTGTAGTTGACCAGGCCAATGGAATACATGGGATTGGAGGCCTTGTAAAAGTGCAGGCCTCGTCCGATTTTGATAATGTAGCCATTGCTCAAGCTGCAAGTAAAAACCAAAGAGATAAGATATTTCCACAAGTGTATTTAATATATATATAGATTAAGGTGGGTTTATCGACCAAATACTTTTAATTTAAGAATTCTTTTGGTTTATAAATTAAATACAAATGTAGTAGATCTTTACGATTAATTTTAGATAAATTTCCTTTTTATATCATTAAGTTTTCTTGTATTTTAAAATAATTTGTTCCACCCTAATGGCTTTTGTTGTGCTGACGCTGTGTTTTTTTTTTAAACTTACTATATTTTGCGATCATGTAGCGAGTCTTCATATTTAATGGACACACTTATGTTCCTTCGCTCCAGATCGGCCTTAATCTGGCCCAGATTTGTCCTTTGTTGATCGGGATTCTTGCTATCCTGATACTCTTTGGTCACCAGGCGAAAATACTTTAAGTTGGGACAGTTGGTGACGGCTAGCTCCAGAAATCTTACAAGATTTTGATACTGCAAGAAAGTATAAACATTTATTAATAGAATTAAATATAAATATACATAATTTTTTATACTTTTTTAGCTCAATGATCTTTGCTTATCTTTTACGATTTTTTTTTTTTTTTCGTTTTCTCTTCCAAGTAACCTTTAACCTTCTGATATTATAATCGCTATTTTAAGAGTTTGTGATAGGATTTTCTTTAAATTTAAACTCAAATTTAAGCTTGATCAATGTTAAATTTATAATTTAATTCTACTTTTTATATATTTTTATTTATTTTTTATATTGTTGGTCTCTTATCTTCAAGTAAAGACATTCTACGTGTCAACTTTCTACAGTTTTAAACAATTTCCAAAGTATTTTACTTGATCCCCTTGTATAAATCCCGGTTTTCCCACCTTGATCCTCCTCACCTGATAGTTTTGTGTCATGTAGGGTTCCTCTAGGAGAATCTCCACGGTATTTTTGTCCATAAATTTACCAAAAAGCTGATCATAATCATGCCCAATGTCATTTTCATCGATGGAAACATGGGAGACCACCTCGCCAAGCATTAGTTTTCCATTGACTCGAGCTTTTATGGCATCCGCGCGATCCATATACTCCTTGATTCTGGTGAGGAAACCCTTCTTCTTTGCCTCATCCGGCTCTCCGTTGACGAACTGCATCAATTGCGAGATCCCCTCTGTGTAGAGCGTCTGCGCCTCCAAGATCCGAGCATTTTGGTCGCATTCCACGGCGCGTATGAGCAATTCCTTGGCCTTTAGAGCGTTGCTCATCTTGGCATGTCCTCGATGTATTATTTAAGTACTTGGAAATTTTAATATCTTAGTGATCAGGACCGCGGAAGGATCGTTTACATTTAATCTTGGAACACGCACAAAAACACAACAAAGAAAGCGGCGCAATCAGCTGTTGGTGTGCCCGTAGCAAGCGAGCAGGAAAAAGAGAAAATAAGTGATATTTGAATATTTATTTGGTATTTTTCGGGCAGCTACCGTTACTATTTGAATTTGTGATAAGCTTAAATATTTAGGAAATTAATTTATTTCATGAAAATAAACAAAACTGGATGTTTATTCAATGCAATATAAAAGGAATTAAGGAAAATATCGCTAAAAAATTATTTATATATGTTGTTCCTGCAACAATTCCCAATTGCTTCTGTATTTTTTCAGGGAATCCCCACTTAAAGCTTGTGTGTAATTCTTTTATTATTTTTATTTTCAGTAATATATGCATATATGTACAAAAATCAATTGCAATTTTGCAGAAATTTGCATATTTCACTGTACTGCTCTGGCAATGGCGTTTTTTCCCTTTACGATTGTGTCGCTTACGAGCAATTACCTGAAAATGGAAACGAAAACGAAAGCGTTTTATCGCCAGCCAACAGTCAGACATGCCACAATTCGAGCCAAATTCAATTTCACTAAGCCAAATATTAATTTATTTGTGTTTTCATTTCTGACTGCTGGGACCGCCAGGTGACCAGGTGACCACTGGATGAGGAGGATGAAGGATACGGACTGGCACGGGGACTCTGTGTGTGTGCTGCGCATCCAATCCATTCGTTCAGCCAAGGAAAAAACCGAAAACGTTTCGTGTAATTTCAAGTTTTTCGGGTGGGGTCTCTCTCCTTCTCTCCGGCTGAGTGGTTTTCCCGGCCATCTCGACAACGGCGACTCCTCCGTATTTTTATTTATGTCATAAATTTTAAGCCATTGGGAGCTGTGAACGGGAACGTGACGTCAGCTTATAGTTCGCAATGCGGGGCTTAAATTTTTCGCATTTTAAATGCGTATTAAGCAGAAAGAAAAGTCATTTTAGGTGATTCGACATAAAACCGCCAGCCACCCCACAAAAACATATCCAAATTGGGAATAAATATGGCTTAATACATGCGTGTTGATGTGTTATTTGACTAGGCCATTCACCGTCAGTTGGCAAATGGCTTGGTTCGATGGATAAACTGGAAATTTGGCCAGCAAAATAACGCATAATTCGGAAAGCCATAGAAAGTGATGTCAAACATTTGAAATTTAAATGCAAACTTTATTTGCCGTATCGAATAAAACGGTTTTATTAGCGCAGCGAAACGCCATTAGCATATATCCTTTTAAAAGCATAACAAACTTGTTGTGTGCCCCATAAAAGGAGGTTCAATTATTTGAAATTAATTTTGTGTGAACAAATAAAGTCTGGGCAATAATATTTGGAACTACAAATGGAAGTTGGCAAACATGCTATTAAAGTAATAAAAGATTTTAACATAAATTGAAGGTAGTTTTACATTTAACATAAAAATCTAACCCTTTAACTACCAAAAACAAACAGTATAAATTCTTAAAAAATCATTCCAGCTACATTGCACATATCCCTTTAAAAATATTATTGTTTCCCTGGCTAAATTGTTTATACTTTCGTATGTAAATGTTTGAAATACTTTGGGTAAAGGGCAAGGCGACCCTAAAAAAACATGGCATACTCTCGGGCTGAGCTCGGGAATGCAACTAAAACTGCTTTGGAATTCTAGTTGGGGAATTAATTCGCCGTCTCGAACAAACTGTTTTTATTTGTAAATTAGACAACTTGAAGTGAAAGTGACCTTGTTAAAGACAACAAGACGGCGGGAGAAGTTGAGCCGAGCTCTTGGCCTCTCTCTCTCTCTCGTTGAGCTCTTCGAGTGCCACGCAGGACTAACTTTTTGTTTGGAATTAGTGGAATTGTATCTTGTAAAACACAAACTCAAGTGGGCCAAAGCTGCGAGCCTAGAGCTCTGCCATGGATCCACATGTCACCCAATAATGCGCTGTGATGTGCCAAGCCACTTGTCCGAGTGTGTCGTGGGTTAAGGTTTTGGGCTTGGGTTTCGCTATACGGTTTTACTGGGGGGGGGTGATGGTGGTGGCAAGTGTGTGGGTTAAGTGGGGAAGTGCACTTGGAGAAATTAATGTCATAAAAAAAGCGTTGCTACATTTTTCAGATATATAATATTTTGTTTATTCTAAAACTGGAGAAACATTTTTTTTAAATATTTTTAAAGACCCTGTAGAGCAGTTTTTTGAAATAAAAATGTATCTGTTATATTAAATTCAAATAAATATACAGTGTTTATGTACCTTATATAGTATTATTAAAAAGTATTTTTAAAAATTACTTACCCATAAATATATATTTTGTTTCAGTTCCACTTTAAAGATACAATTCTAGTAAAATTAACTCCCCTTATTCCTACCCTTGTTTTTCTCTAAGTGCAGGGGATGAGATCTCCGGGATGGTTATAGGAATCGAAATAGGAATCGGAGTCGGAGAATCGCTTGATGGGTTGCTGGGGGCAGTGGTTAGCTTGGCTTAGCTCATATTACGGGTATCTTGGCGCCAGCTTTTTATCGACGATTATTTTCTTTAACTCTGAGAAAGTGTGTGTGTGTGTGTGTGTGCTGTGTGTAATGTTGTTGTTGTTGCTGTGCTCTGCCTTTTCGTTCAATATTTGCTTGCTACTGCCGCTGCTCCTTCGTCTTCGTCCTGGCCTCCTTTAGCCACTGACTGACTCGGCTTCCTTTTTTTTCCGCCACTTTTGCAGCCTTTCTCGTTGATTTTTATTTGTTTCTCTTTCAATTTATTTTGCCATTTCGTTTTCCTTTCTGCTGTCATTGCTGTTGTTGTTGCTGCTGCCATTTTCATCGCTTTTATTGCAAACACACACACATACACACGCACACAGAGGCAGACACATGTGGAGCAGCCAGCTCCCCACACATTGTGTGTCCTTCACAGTCACAGTCACATTTGAAGTCACATTCACAGTCACATTCACATTCACATTGGCAGTGCGTGTTTGTCAGTCTAACTGTGTGCTGAATGCACTGCGAGAAATGAGGTCTGGCTTAATTAATTAAGGGATTTTGGAGGGAGAAGTTAAGAGGATTTCATTTTCATATTTTATATATTTTAAATAAAATATTTTGATACCATTTTTTAGCTTAAATAAAAAGATGACATAACGAGAAATATAACAATTAAATTTTAAAATATTTTTGAAATATTAAAGATTATTTTTACAAGAAAATATTAAAGCTTAAGTAAAATTTAAAATATTTTCTAATAGAAAAACAGAATAATGAAAAGGAGTAAGAATCTATACAAAAGTATAAGTGATACAAAAAATACTTACATACCTTTATATTCATTGTTTTTACTTTACAATGCTTATCTTTTATAATTATATTGTATTATTTATAATACAATCCTTACATAAATTATTCTTAAATATTTTTAAAAGTACTTTACAGTTTTCTCTTAAAAACCTCTCTGTGTACCGCCTTTAAACTTCTTTGATTGCCCATTTTGACACGAGTTTTTCTTGGCTTCGAGTGCTCGTACACACAGCTTACCCTTGACTTTGGATTGCCTTTTTCTCAGTGTGTTTGCGAATCTGTTTGTTTGCTGCTAAATGTGCGCTCAGCCCGCCACTCATTTATGTCGTCGATGTGCCACAGCCGCTGTCACCCTTGGCAAGTAAGCACACCCCTCGCCACGTCGAGCCACCTCATCTAGGCACCACCACCCATTCCACCCACCACCACCCCCTTGGCACCCCGCCCCGCCTGGCACGTTCGTTAACGTTCAGTTTTCCACTTGATGCTATTTATGTTTGCTTCCATTTTTCAAGAAGGATCAAAATTTATATTGGCTAAAAAGTCCCTCGAGAGCTTTTTACCCCACACTTCTCCCTCCTGCTCCTGGCCCCTCCCCCACCCACACACACACACACTTACAGATGTAACAAATTGTAACACAATCGTAACTGTTTACTCGGGGGGTCAACGGGGCTGAGCCAAAATCATAACCTCATGAACTTTTGCGCGGTAAGTGGCCACGCCCCCCTCGGGGAGTATATATCCCACATGTCCCTTCAACTCTTGCACCAAGAAAAAAAAACGAATTAATATAGAGAAATTTATTGACCATCTTGGGTTGTTTTTTAAGGGAGTGAAAACCGATACATTGATGTATTTAATTATTAAAAGTAATAAATTGTAAGATATAATATGATATACTTTCAATAGGAATTGTTAAAAGTAGTTTTTTCATGTAATTAGGTTTTTGAAAACCTTTTATTAGGGTTTTATTTTAAATGAAAATTCTTTGAGTAATGTATCTTATTTAAGGAATTCCTTTGATGTTTCTATACTTACCGAGGAATATCTTTAAAAGTCTAAGGATAATGATTGGCATATCTGTGATTATTTTATATTTAAAAGAAATAACATTTTCTTAAGATAAAATCGTTTCAAAAATATTATAAAAAGAAAGCCTGTCTAAGTAAGGCTTAAAACTTATTCTGAATACTTTCTGAAACCAATAGTTTCTTTTTTGGATACATCTGTTTAAAGATATTAAAAATGTTTAACCTTGATATCATTTAAATAAAAATTCTAAAAATTCCCAAATATTATCTTAAGACATTTACCAACTTACAAATTTATCTCAAGACCTTTTTTCATCTCCACAACTTTTCTTACTGTGTGACCATTGTGATGCCAAGCAATTGAATTGAGCTGCAATTGTTTTGATTTCTGGCCCAGGGCCTTCATTTTCCCCGGTTTTTCCCCCACATTTCCCAATCTCTTTCACTCTCCTCATATTATGACTTCTCGTATTTATCGCCTCCCGTACGTTTTCATCGTCAAGTGTGGCAAAAATGTAATAAACAATTCGAGATGCTTTATTGCTGCAGCAACTCAATTTATATGGCCTGGCCTTTGAGGTGCTCCTGCTACGGCTCCTGCTTCTTCATTTTCTCCATCTTTTTCTTGGTCTAGATCCTGGCCAAAAACCTCATTCCATTCCTTAGCCCCAGCTCCGGTTGGCTCCTCCATTGTGGCCTGCTTTTGTTGTGCGTCAGTTTCCCT